TCTCATGAACTATTTGAGCCACAGAATTCGTTTTGGCATCGTTGGATAGAGAATTGAATGGCCCCCCTGGCCCATGGCCCCCCCTGGATCCGCCCTTGAGTCCCCTCTGGGCTCGTTACATAGAAGAAACGTTCTTCTATTTTAGACAGAAAAAACGACTCTGAGGCAAGAAAAAACTCAAGTTTTTTGCAAAATCAAACAGACCTGGATTTTCGAGTCTTGGCCGTCGGCCAGAGCCTCTAAAAGCCCCGATTCGGAACTGCGATACACGCCAATCCTGCTGAGAAAAGTCGGCTGAGGCGGCAGGTAATTGTCCTGCCAATGTTTCGCCATGATATAATTTAGCTTCTGCAGCAGCATCAAGTTGTCGCGTTCAATCTTCCGGGATCTCTCCTCCTCTTTTTGGAGTTTTTTGAGTTTGAGGGCCACATGAGGACGATGAGGCGGCGATTTCGTGTCGATCACTGGCGTAGCCGAAAGCACCTGAATGAAACCAATGAATACCCGGAATGAGAGGTTTTTGTGTGCGTTTCACCTTTTTTTTGTGGTACTCGTACTTTCGTTGCTGCCAGGGGCGGCACAGTAGATTCTCTCTAGTAGAAATCATAGTAATTTTTGCGACTTTCCAGCACTTTTCACTGATTTTCTCAGCTTTCTTGCACAGTGTTTGTAGGCTGGTTGCCAAGTAAATAATTCCCCTTTTCGAGCCCATATTGATCTTGCGATGTGACAAATGGAAGCAAACGAAGTAAGAACGTTCGGTTGTCTGGAGAAGCAACAAACTTCCAACTAAATGGCCTGCCAGGTGTCCAGATCTAATCCCTCGTTTGGATTTGCGATTATTTAGAGTTCCAGCGCTAACTCCGCTATTTACGAGTCAATGAAGCACGCGATCCAGATGTATTTTTCCGGGTTATCTAAACAAATGAACTACCTCCTCCAAAACAATGCAATTAGAGCGGATTTGTATGGAATGTTCAGGAAAAAGGCGGGTAAAGCCGAAATTATGAAAGGAAAAAGAGCAAATTGACCACGCAAGAACGACAGGCTGGCGCTCTCATAATTATGGGCATTTAATTTTTTTCCTCTAAAACTCCTGGGCCGAATTCTGGAGCAAATTGGTATCCGCATCGAATGTGTTGATTTTCCAGAACTATTTGCGTACAACAATAAAACTGATCTAATTATCAAATAACATCCCTCATTACGATAACCGATAATTGATTAGCGATGGCAAATACAGGGGAGTCAATATTTGCACCGTAAAAACTAATCTTGAGGATTAGCGGACGTGGAGCCCGATACTATCGCAATGTTTCCATGAATTAATTTAAATGTATAGATGACTCTATCAGAAATTTCTTGTAAGTTTCCCTAATGTTTTTTGGGGCCTTTTAGCGTGAAAGCAGCCAAATATTCCAGATTTACAAGCGAAAGGATCGGGGACAAATGCCTGGACGAAATGGTGAATGGCTTAAAAAATGCTATTACTCATACTCCTTATTTTAGTTCCAAGGATACCCGCAGATGTCAGCACAGGGCGGCGGGGAACAGCGTGTGATGGTGATCATCCCTATCTGTCGTGCCCATGTAAAATCCCTTCTTATCGATGTTTTTTTGCTGATTCTTGACAAAAATATGCAGTTTTCCCTCACAAGATCTCGATTCCGATTGGCTGCATGTGATTGAAAGAGTGCCGTTCCGGGTACAATTTGCAGTGTTTCTGCCCTTTCGACTCTCCGGTATATCGAGATATTGAGGTTAAGTGTCACGGGCAGTCGGTTTTTGTTGAGAAGCAGCCCCCCTGTTCCGAGAATCAGCGCCTCAACAACCTGCCACAATGCCTCAAAAACCTGTTTCCAGGTAAGCCCCTCCTCATTTCTCATTGAAAACCTGTCAATTGACCGAATAAAAAAAGTTGGGTTATAAGCTCAACTGAAGTGGCTTTAGGGCTAACGGGTTTTTTCGAGCCCCCCTGATTGTTTGCCTGCAAAGAACTGAGAAAAGCCGCGCAAGTGTGCAAGTAATGTGTTTTTCAAGGAAGAAAGGGTGAAGGGAAATTGCGAAAATGCCAGCCAGGGGTGCCGCATGTACCGATAATAAGTGGCTTATCCCGCAAGTTGGGAGGTTTTTGCTGATAATCTAAATTATTTTTATTGCGCCCCAGGAAATCTACAACGTTTATATATAACAGGCTTCTGTTTGATGCACGTGTGCATAAATCCGGACATAAAACACAGTTTGGTCACTAGGTCAGACCACATTTACAAAACCTTTTCGGCCCCCGCTCTAAATATCCTGTAATTCTGAAGGTTACTGGTTCAAGGGTAACTAGCTCGATCCAATCCAGGATTTTGTTACTCAAATGGTTTAGGTCTCTTTCAAATAAGCACCTATTTCTTCTGTGCATATTGACTATCCATCGTCCATGGGTGTTTCTACGGGTTTAGCTTGGAGAAGATCCCAAAATTCATGCCTACTGCTGCCTGACCAAACTGGTTAAGCTGTCCCAGTTCTGCTTATCCAGAGCGTGCTCTTGATTCCCGGAAATCCCCTTTCCAGAGTCCAGAGTATTCGCTGAATCCAAAGCGCTGACCTCATTTTAGCGCGCTGAGTCACATATGATGTTGCATTTTCCCATTGTCTACGCGGTTTTCACGTAATTCAGGCCTGCTAATGGGCTGAAGAAGATCAATTTGACTAAACGGTTGAATATGCGTCCCGATTTAAAACTGTAAGAAATTGTAATTTGGAGACAGGAGAATTCCCTTGTTTGTTTGTGCCATTGTGTCTGCAATTTTACCGTCCTCATGGCTGCCCAAACTAATCGGTTTTAGTATCAGTTTTGCATTAGATGTGTAGGAATGGCCAAGTAAATTAATGATAAGGCGCGATTCGGTCAGACAATTTCCCGATTTGATTAAATGGCCGCATTGGTTTTCCTGGAACACCATCAGGACCAATTTCCTGATTCTCCGAAAAGAACCGCAGCCCGCAGGGCTTTAAACGCTTTATTTATTGAGTGATGTGAATATTTATATGGGAAAACTAGGCGAGATTTATTCGAATTTCCTGGATCACTAACTGGATTAGATCTCCCCACCTGGCAACTGCAGCTGCAGGAGCCAATGTGCTCTTTCCAAGGGAAACTAGGACGGGGTCAACTACCCCAGTCTCGATCCGTAACCGATTGACCTACATTTCCTGGAGAACTAACTCCTGTGAGGGGGCATTTGATCAGTGGCGTAGTGCAGGGAGGCTGGGAAAATCCCGACTGTTCTGAAGTCCTTTCCTTGTTGCAAAGCATTGGTTGTTGGGAAAATGCTCGCCCTCCGCCTCTGCTACCAGCAAACAATTTCATTGTTTTCCTGCAACTTCGGGCCCCACTCCTAAGCATTCCGGATATTTATTTGCCGGTTTTTTCCGTTATCCAAATGGGCGTTTTGCTTTTAAACATTGCAAAATAAATTTCCCGTTTTCCCTCCGATTGGAAACAGGATGATGCCTTTGTGCCGTTTTCTGCATGCCTGCGGCCGATTGCGAAACCTCGACTGTTTTCCTGCACGGGACAGGTGGAAAATGTGCTTTTACAATCCATTTTTTTTCTTGGTTTTTTGGCGTCCAATATTGCTGTTTTTTATCCTCTTGAAGCGCAGTTTTTCCCTATTCTTTATTTTCTTTACTTTCTTTGAGTTGGCCAAGTGTATTTTGGTCGCGAGTATTTTACTGCTTTGGTTTGCGATGGTCAACCGCAGTTTTAAAACAAACCGGAAAAACCCACCCCAGATGGGGCTACGGAAGACCGCTTTATACAGCTTGGGGGCAGTTCGTTTCCGTCCCGTTTTGCATGTTTCTCGAAAGCAAAATGAGCAAGAACACTCGTTTTTAAATCATTCCAGAGATAACTAAATGGCCTTTATTCGAAGTTTCTCAAGAACCATTCGAGCCACAGAATTCGTTTTGGCATCGTTGGATAGAGAATTGAAAAGTCGATTCAATCGTAACAACA